CCCCTTAAAATCATTCCCTACCACCATTCCAGTGTTTTATGTATTCCTGGCCTCACAACCATTTCTCCACAGCAACTTTAATAATATTATTATTATGTGGACAATTTAACACTAAATCTCTGCGTATTTGGATCCCAGCTTTGCACTGCCAACAATTTCATAAAACTGCTGCTAAATTGTCTACCAAAGTTCCACCCTTAGTAATACAAATATGTTTCAGAAGCTTTTAAGTCACAGCATTTTTTAGCATATCTTAGATTACATTTTTAGGCTTTCACCAGGATTTCGTGGGGTTGTATGTGAGGATAGACACTTTCATCTCCCTATTGGACATGGTCTACTTCAGGTTTCCTTAAGCCCTTCACATCTTAGCATCTCGCTTGCTACTATAACTAGCTTCTTGGACAAGATTGCCTTTTATTATTTTCTAGATATCATCCTATACGACATGCCCTATACTTAAAAATGTCAGTTTTATAACTGAAACTGAAAGCTAATATACAGTAGTCTGCACAGAGTAAGTACTTTATGTTAATAACTTAGAATCAAAATGCTTAAGGATGAATTATGGCTTACAAATCTTATCTATCTCTGGGGAGAAAGAATGCCTGTATCTGATGTTGGATCTTTTCCTGTGCTTTTTTGAAGGGAGCATCCTTCTAAGTCAGAACTCTCCATGTTTCCATATCCAGATTTGTTCACCAGGGCAGATGAACAATTGGCAAGAGTTGTTGACCATCACGTAAGACTGACTTCCTTAAACTAGCAAGAGCTTTATTCTTTAAAGGTGCCTTGAATTAGAAAGTATAGCTCTGAGCTGGAAATATTAACTTGTGTTATTTAAAAGTTTCACCATGATTGAGCATTGCCAAACTGCAGTGTAGTCTATTAACAGTACAGAAATATTTTGACTCGATTTTTGGCGACCGTTCTTTACCCGTGACAGATCAGAAAGACGTTGTTCTTGGTGTGCGCTAAGCTGGCAGTGGGAACACAACACGATTCTCATAATGCAGCACTGGAAGCAAGTGGGCTGTATTTAGTCAATAATTTCTTATCAGATGCACATCACTTTATGTCTACTTCTACTTCTTTTTAGAAGTAGAGTTCCAGTGGGAGACAAAGTACTTGTTTGTTTGTTTTTCTTTAATACATTGTGGACCCAATAGCACGTAGAACGTGTTTAAATTAATGTTACCACTGGCAGTGCAGAATTGTCTATCAGATTGTGATTATATTTCCATGATTAATTTTTCCCATTCCGTTTAATCAGTGATTTTTTTGAACAAAGGCTAAAAGATTATTTCTTTTACTGATCACATTGAGTAGTTATTTAACACATAGCTAATATTTAAGCCACTCTGACAATAACTACAGTACTGAAGTTTGGAGACTGATTGATAACCTGGGAACACAAAATGAGAGCTATAGCAATAGTGCTTTGGACTTTTATTATACTTCATATTTTACGAAATGCTTTTACATTAATTAATTTAATCCTCACAATAATCCTGTAAGGCATTTACTGATAAGAAGAATAAATTAATGGTTTAGAATTCAGTTACTTGCCTAAGGTTTTAAAATTAGTAAATGATTGAGTGTACATTCAAAACCAGACCACTGGACTCCAAATCCACTTTTCCATAGCTGCTCAAATCCTTGGTTTATAATCCCTAATCAGAATTGGGGATGGGAGGGTGAAATATTGACAAGAAGCAAAAACACCTCTCCACAGGTAAGTTCTCCTTCTAAGCCAAGTGACATTTATTACCTGTATGTAATATACAAGGAATAAGGCAGATACCTCATTATTCAGCAGGTGTCAAGATATGTTGTACATTGTAGGTTTTAAATAGCATCATGATTGAATCACTGAGTGAATAGGCTAAATAAAGGAATAAATGGTGCTTCAATTTTCTAACAACTTCAAGCATATCTGCATTGTCCTAGCTGCCACAATCAATCATCAACAGTGGCAGGTAAAAGTCAAGACAAGACAATAGTTTATCCAAACAGAACTTGTCATGGTCCGCAGAGACCAAAAATGGGGGAAAAATTTTTACTTTATCCTGAGGCTAACAGAAAGGATTATGATGTTACACTGAATTCCAGCTTTGCTGATTCTGAAGAGGGCAAAAACAAGAGGTGCCTCTTGGATGATAGTGATATGATACCTCTTGGCTGCTTTCACATGTATTGCTGCTTTTAGACATACTGTTTAGGAAATCAATTTTATTTTACTGACAGTTCTTAAGAATTAATTCTCTGTTAATTTTTCACAATGTAAAAAGCAAAGCCTTTAGGTGCATGACAATCTTTAAGGTTAGTTCATCTAAAATTAGTTGTTTTATTTACAGATACTGTTGTTATTAGGCTAACTGCTACTTTTATGTCATAACATCAAATTGGTAGCTTTATTAAATAACTAATATTATTTAGTTCATTATATGAGAAAAAAGTATGTAAGTCACAGATGGGTATCAGAATTTGTAAATAAAGCCAAAGCGTGAATGTCAGATGGCATCTGAATGTTTTAGATGTTTTGCCTCAGCTTCCTGCATATTTCATGCAACAATTATTTTTAAGAAATCTAAGTTTTATGGGTAATAACTGGGTACATAAAGTCTCAGAATAAGTGCAGGTAATGTTTGATTTCTTAGGTTTTTAAAACTTAACTGGAATAAAACAAGTGGCTATTATTTTAATATGCTTTTATTTTTAACTAATACATCATTTAAAACATTTTATTGCCTTTGGCAAGGCTGTGTGATGTGGACTCTGAAGTTTAGTTATATACATTAGTATCTGTACATCCAGATGACAAATAAAAGTCATGATTTACAGAACTGGTATATAGTATTCTGTAAATTAACTGATAGATTGTTAAGCTAAGCCTGGTCATTTGGGCATATATATGGGCTAAAGGGTGCCAAAAAGAGCAGTGTCTTTAGGAATTTCCAACATTTCATGCTAGAATGACATCCTACTCTGAAACATTTGCTCAGCCTGCAAAAGGTTCACCATCCTTTTTCACCATTTTGTTCATCAAAAAATGTAAGACGGAAGAAAAGGTACTCATGATGATGTTTGGTTGATCTGCCATCATTACTTCCATCTTTGACTACCTCACCCATGCCCAGGGCTCTTGCCTACAGGTATGCTGCTATTGTCATGAGTTAACATGGTCAGTTGAGATGAATTCTTTAGGTCTGCTGCGAAGTAAGCATTTGGCCATTAATTTCATTTTCAACATCACATGGAATAGTATAACAATTTTTATCTTTCACTTAGATTTGTATTTTCTGTGGGTTTTTTTGTTTGTTTGTTTATCTTGATTTGATTGTTTATTTTATGATCCCACGCTTTCATGTAACCACTGATATTGATAAAGAACGGGAAATCCTTTGGGATATAGAAATGTAAACCTATTATATCTTATTTTAAATGGTTCGTAATTTTTAAAATGTTAAGAAGAAATTCTGTCTTGGGGAGAGAGGGAGCTTATATTGCTCTATGAAAAGTCCCTGGTGGTGCAAACAGCTTGCTCTGAGCTAGTAACTGAAAGATTGGCTGTTTGATCCCATCCAGCAGTGCTCTAGGAGAAAGATCTGGTGATCTGCTTCCGTAAAGATTACAGCCAAGAAAACACTATGGAACTCAGTTTTACTCTGTAACACATGGGGTCGCCATGAATTGACCTGAATCGACATGAATTGACTTAACAACAACGGGCTTTATATCATTTTCTAATAGGTGGCTCCATATACTTTACCCATATGGTATAATATAAAATTCCTGATGAATGTTTGAAAAAAACTGTGATAATAATTGGATGTAAGTATCTGCATTTTGAGAAGCTAAATTGATGTGTGTGTATATATATATATACACATATGTATGTATCTGTATCTATATGTCTGTTTCTACAGATAGGGATAGATAGATAGATAGATAGACAGGGATAGAGGTGGAGGTAGAGATAGAGAGAAAACCATGGAAAATCATGAACTTTCTTTTAAAATCCCTCTCAAAAATGTGAATTTCTAGTAGAACCCCATATTTAAGTCTGTTTTGGGTCACTTGTTAATTATAGGGTTTAATAAATGTTTAGAAATTGCAGTTAATTGAAAGAATTGTTAATAGCCAGCTCCTACCTCTACATATGTCTGAATGATGCTTTGTGTCTATAACAGTGGCAGGAAGAGCTAAAGATCCGAGAGAAGGAAGATGCCATATGTGAAGCCGAAGAACGGAAAAATAAAGAGTTAAAGGAGACAAATCACTTCAGAGAAATTATGAAGAAAAGAGAAGAGAAACTTCACAAGCAAACCAAACCCTATGAGCTTCCTCCAAGAACAGAAGTAATTTCATTAGAGAACAAAATAAGACCCAAAGAAATTGAGCCCCACATGCCAGAAGTTCATTGCAAGAAAGATACTGAGATAATTCCACATTAGGAAAACTTTCTTGTGATTAATTTAAAGACATTTTTTAGAAAGGAATTCTTATCCTGGTGCAAGTACTTTAATAGTCATATGTTAGTCCTCAATTATTAGTCGGTTCTTAGTCACAGTTGAGTGATTTCACCAGTTAAATTTTTCCCAGAATATGGCTGATGTTTTCCTAACTGACTCTTATCATGTGATCATAGAGCATACTTTATCAGTGATTCTCAGACCATTGATATTCACTGGACACTTAGATGGAAATCAACTGCAAACTATTAATGAGTCTCATATGAGAATTATTTCTTGAAAACAAAAAGAATGAACATCAGCTGGTGCTCCTATAATAACTATTAGTCAAATAAAAGAAATTATGGCACTTGCTTTGATTTGTGATTTGTAATCAATCTATGCCAAACCAAAACCTATGTCAGAAGTTTGAATTTGATAAATTACCATCTATAAACAAATCTGGAAGAACCAGTCATCTCAGATTGGCTTTGCCTTAACGGATGCCATAGGAAACTCCTGAGTGACCGGGGTTTTACTATGGTAGATGAGCTCAAGAGAATGGATTTTGATGGTTCCAGGTCCAGTAACAGTTATTGGAGGGATACATCCAATCTTGGAGTCATTTTAAAAATGGCACTCTACTTCATCTGAAGCTCTCAATTTATGGGTAAGAGGCATTCCTTTTTCTGAAAAATACAAATAATAACCACATCTCAATTTTGCACAGTTGGTTTTATAATACTCAAAAGACAGGTAATTTATCATGGGTGTCAAACTCAAATGACTACGCAGGTCAAGAAGGTAACATAAATTACTGAAGGGGATTGGGGCATACCTTACCTACAACACCTAAAGAAGTTCCCATTATTCAGCTACATTTTTAAATGTATGCCAAGTGTTGCAGGATCATTTAGTCTTTCAAGAAATTACTTTTAAAATAAAAATTCCTAAGTTCTAAATGATTGGCAACTAATTTTTTTTTAAAAAAAGCAAAACATATATTTGCATGTTAAGTTTGACTCAAGGACTAGAAGTTTGTGACTTGCATTATATGAATTTAAGGTATCATTCTTTGTTTAGGATAACAATAACATATGGTAGAAAAATGGTGGGGGGATTGTTTTGATTCATTACATGTATAGCTGATTCAAAATTAATGTTGCTCTTCCTAAACCTTTTAACTCATCTTTGTCCCTTCATAGTGAGAATATGCAAGTTCTCAGAAATAATATCTGTTAATGTCCTTTTTCAAATACCTTCACCCATTTTGCTTTCTTCACTTTTGAAAAGTTATGTGCTACAAAAGACCAGCTAGTCCCTTTGCTTTAAATCCCATTCCTTCCAAAACCTTGTTCCATTAACTATTCCCCAACCCCCTCTAAATCCCTCCCTGTCACTCACTTCTAAACCCATGGAGGTCTCTATTTTCTACTATCCCTCAATCCAAACTACTCTCTCATTTAGGCCAACAGTGACATCAGCATTACCAGAACCTGACTGCACTTTTAAGTCACAATCTTTCTGTTGGTTTGGAGAGAAATTCAACCACTGGGATGTAACTTGTGGGGAAGGGACTCTGGGGATCTAATTACTCTTTTAAGAATCTCAACAAACTCTGCTCTTTTCAGTACCACCTATATAGAAACCTGATGTCTTCAACTTCTGAACCTTTCTGATGTTCTCAGGCATGGATCAGTCTACCTCATGGCTTTCCCATTGCAGATTTACATTTATTTTTAATCTGGTCTTTTTATTCTGTTCCCACTTGTTCACCTGCTTTCTAACTTCCACAATTTTCTTAGTGTTTTCAATTTGCTATTATCTTTTCTCCTTATGGGTTCCCGCCTCTTTTTTAATCCTTTTTCTATCATCTTTGTGGGGATGTGGAAGGCGGCAAAATATATATAAATGTATGTGTGTGTGGATGTAAACATCCATTAATAATCAGAATGTGGAAGGTACAAAGTATGAATCTAGGAAAATTGGAAGTCATCAAAAATGAAATGGAATGCATAAAGATTGATAATGTAGGCATTAGTAAGCTGAAATGGACTGGTATTGGCCATTTTGAATCAGACAATCATATGGCCTACTATGCCGGGAATGACAAATTGAAGGGGAATGATGTTACATTCATCATCAAAAAGAACATTTCAAGATATTCCCGAAGTACAATACTGTCAGTGATAGGATAATATCCATAAGCCTACAAGGAAAATCAGTTAATATGAGTATTATTCAAATTTATGCACCAACCACTAATGCCAAAGATGAGGAAATTGAAGATTTTTACCAACTTTTGCAGTCTGAAATCGATCAAACATGCAATCAAGATGTATTGATAATTACTGGTAATTAGAATATGAAAGTCAGAAACAAAGAAGGATAGGTAGTTGAAAAATGTGGCCTTGGTGATAGAAATTACACCAGGGATCCTATGATAGAATTTTGCAAGACTAATGACTTCTTCATTGCAAATACCTTTTCAACAACATACACAGTGACTATGCACGTGGATCTCACCAGATGGAATAGGAATCGAACTGACTATGTCTGTGGAAAGAGACTATGGAGAAGCTCAATATCGTCATTCAGAACAAGGCCAGGGGCCAACTGTGTAACAGACCATCAATTGCTCATATGCAAGTTAAAGTTGAAGCTGAAGAAAATTAAAACAAGCTCAATAGAGCCAGAGTATGACCTTGATTATATATTCTCCACCTGAATTTAGAGGCCAGGTCAAGAATAGCTTTGACACATTGAACACTAACGACCAAAGACCAGATGAGTTGTGGGATGACATCAAGGACAGCATAAATGAAGAAGGCAAAAGGTTATTTAAAAGATGGGAAAGAAAGAAAAGATCAAAATAGATGTCAGAAGAGACTCTGAAACTTGCTCTTGAATGTAGAGTAGCTAAAGCAAATGGAAAAAACGATGAAGTAAAAGAACTGAACAGAAGATTTCAAAAGGTGGCTAAAGAAGATAAAGTATTATAATGAATGTGCAAAGACCTAGAGTTAGAAAGCCAAAAGGGAAGAACACACTTAGCATTTCTCAAGCTGAAAGAACTGAAGAAAACATTCAAACCTCGAGTTGCAATTCTGAAGGATTCTATGGGCAAAATGTTGAACAATCCTGGAGGCACCAAAAGAAGATGTAAGGAATACACAGAGTCACTGAACCAAGAAGAATTGGTCGGTGTTCAAACATTTCAGGAGGTAACATATGATAAAGAACTGACAGTATCGAAGGAAGACGTCCAAGATGCACTAAAGGCACTGGCAAAGAACAAGGGTCCAGGAATTAATAGACTACCAACTGCGATGTTTCAGCAAAAAGATGCATTGCTGGAGGTGCTCACTCATCTAAGACAAGAAATTTGGAACATAGCTACCTGGCCAACCAACTGGAAGAGATCCATATTCATGCCTGTTCCAAAGAAAGGTGAGCCAACAGAATGTGGAAGTTATCAAACAGTATCATTAATATCACATGCAAGTAAAATTTTGCTGAAGATAATTCAAAAACGGTTGCAGCAGTACATTGACAAGTAACTGCCAGAAATTCAAGCTGGATTCAGAAGAGGACATGGAATGAGGGATATCATTGCTGATGTCAGGTGAATCTTGGCTGAAATCAGAGAATACCAGAGAAATATTTACCTGTATTTTATTGACCATGCAAAAGCATTCATCTGTGTGGATCATAGCAAACTATGGATAACATTGCAAAGAATTGGAATTCCAGAACACTTAATTGCTCCCGAGGAAACTGTACATAGACCAAAAGGCAGTCGTCCGAACCAAACAAGGGAATACTGGGTGGTTTCAAATCAGGAAAGGTGTGTGTCAGGGTTGTATCCTTTCACCATACCTATTAAATTTGTATGCTGAGCGGATAATCCAAGAAGCTGTAATATGCGAAGAAGAACGTGGCATCAGGATTGGAGGAAGACTCACTAACAACCTGAGATATGCAGATGACACAACCTTCTTTGCTGAAAGCGAAGAGGACTTGAAGCACTTACTGATGAAGATCAAAGACTACAGTCTTCAGTATGGATTACATCTCAACATAAAAAAAACAAAAGTGCTCACAACTGGACCAACAAGCAACATCTTGATAAATGGAGAAAAGATTGAAGTTGTCAAGGATTTTTTTTACTCTGATCCACAATTAATGCCCATGGAAGCAGCAGTAAAGAAATCAAATGATGTATTGCATCTGGCAGATGTGCTGCAAAACACCTCTCTAAAGTGTTGAAAAGCAAAGATGTCACTTTGAGGACTAAGGTGCACCTGACCTAAGCCGTGATATTTTCAGTTGCCTTATATGAATGCAAAAGCTAGACAATGAATAAGAAAGATCAAAGAAGAATTGATGTCTTTGAATTATGGTGTTGGCTATGAATATTGAATAAACCATGGACTGCCAGAAGAATGAACAAGTCTGTCTTAGAAGAAGTACAGCCAGAATGCTCCTTGGAAGCGAGGATGATGAGACTTTGTCTCATGTACTTTGGACATGTTATTAGGAGGGATCAGTCCCTAGAGAAGGACATCATGCTTGGTAAGTTAGAGGGTCAGCGAAAAAGAGGAAGACCCTCATTGAGATGGACTGACACAGTGGCTGCAACAATGGGCTCAAATATACCAACAACTGTGAGGATGGTGCAGGACCGAGCAGTGTTTTTTCTGTTGTACATGGGGTTGCTATGAGTTGGAATCGACTTGACAGCACGTAACAACAACAAAAACAACGTGTGTGTGTGTGTACATATATATAAACAGAATTGATTAGTCAGAATCCCGATGCCTTTATTCTTAAAATATTATTTAAAATTCTTTATTATAAAATTACTCTTTAAAATTCTTAAAATTTATCACCACATACCTCTTATGGTTTTCCTCTTATGCCTCTGATTCTTCCTAGAATATTAGCAAAAATTGAGGCTTTTAGATTTGTAATGTGGTAACTATGCTCCGGCTAGCTATGAAACATTGGACAATTATTAACCTTTTTGAGCTTCAGTTTACTCATTTATAAAATGGGTACAATTTATTTAAAGAGTAGTATCAGTCAGAGGCCAATGAGGAAGACATAAAAACATCAGTTATTTTAACAGAGAATGTAAGGAATTGTTTAAAAAGATGTTAGAGAACTGAGAAAGTGAAAAGGAATCATAGAAATAACACAGAAACAATAACTTTAAGAAACTGCTGCTGGCCATAGGATCAGGGGTCAAAGAGAAGGGGTTTGGACTAGTAGAACCTAGAAGCTTGGACAAAGAAGCAGTACCCCACTGGTGCTTGTCACTCTGAAGGGCACATTGGGGCTCATCTGGGAGTACAGAAAAAAAAAAGGGAAACTGGAACAGATTGCTCTGAATTCAAACCACCAGGAAGAGCAAGGAAAAAAGAAGGATCAAGTTTCCTCCTCCTCCTCCATCCATAAACTCTAGTGCTCCCTGTTCCTCCACATCATAAAGCAGAATGAAGAAGGATGCATTTGGAGCTGGAAGATACTAGTTAACTAACCAGCAAAAATATATAGCTCAATGTCTAAAACATATTAGACCATACAATAAAAGTTCATTCCACCTTCTTTTCTTCTGCATCTTAGGCTCTCTTTTCAGCTTTTTTCTGCAAGCTTTTCCTA